AAGATGTGGCTGTAAGGCCAGGTTGAAGACTAGGAATCCTGTAGCAATTAACTAACATCCTGTCTCTTGAAAGCCTCTCCACCATTTACAAGGCACAATTCAGGAGTGTGATGGAATACTCCCCACCTCCCTGGATGAGTGCAGCTCTAACCAAGAAGCTTGACATCATCCAGAACAAAGCAGCCCACTTAATTGGACAACATCCCATAAACATTCTCTCCCTCCCTCATTGACACTCAATACCCACAGTATGTGTACTATCTACAATAAGTAATGCAGAAATTCACCAAGTCTCCTTAGACAGCACCTTCCAAAATCACGAGTACTACCATCTAGAACAACAAGGGGAAAAGATATATGGGAATACTACCACCTGCAAATTCACCTCCAAGCCACTCACCATCCAAACTTTGGAAATATATCGCCATTCTTTAATTATCACTATATTGAAATCATGGAACTTCCTCCCTAACGGCATTGTGGGTTTACCTACTAGACATGGGCTGGAATGGTTCAAGATGGCAGCTCACCATCACCCTATCAAGGGCACCTAGGGAGGGGAACTAAACGCTGGTCAAATTAACAAATTCCACATCTCATGAATGGATATAAAAATGTTACTGGGACCTGATCTGTATTCCACATACTATTCCATTTGGTTAACATTTATTTCTGATCCCTTGTATGAAGTTGTAAGGCTCACCGAAATTTCTCTGAGAACTCAACCTTAATGAATGCCCTTCTCCCTGCATGCAATGCATTCAAGTGCTAAGCTAAACTGGCTGTAACTGCAATCCCTTCTCAAGTCCATGACTGATTATTCATTACCGAAGAAATTTTTGGATTTCTCCCAAAAAAACAGCTGATATAATGAGTAGCACACAATCATTTTCAGTAAATTCTTCACAGGGACTGCCTGTGCCAGGTTAATTGTTAATTTACAACATGGTTGGTCTCTTATGAAGGGTCTCATATATTATAATCTCTTTTCTTTCATACTTTTCATGACTAAAGAGATGTTCTGTACATTATCACAAATGTTCATATTTTTACACATATTCTTCCATTCATAATTAACAAATATCACCCCTTTTCCACTGTAAGTTAGGAAGTTATCAATTACCCAAGATAGAAAGGTTTCTATCCTTTCTCCATTACCTAGTCCACTGTTATTTTTACCCTTTACTATGTTATTTTAGATTGACTAAGTCAAGTTGCCATGTCTTTGAAGTGCAAAATGAAAAATGTTTTCGCCTTTATCACATACCTTCAAGTCCATTGCTTCAGTCTTGTTACTCTCTTGCTAATAGGAGACTCACTATCGCCATCAAGGTGTCCTGGTGTCCTTCTATGCTTTTTACATATATCACATTCATTACCAATCTCTTCTTTCAGTTTGGTGCACTCATTGCCCCTTCATCTTCATCCTTTATTAGGATTTTTAGCCAGCAATAAGGTGGATGGGTTTCCTTTCAAGATAACATAACCTTTTTTGCCATTAATCTCCTATGTCTTGAGACATAGGACATTGACTTAACATTTTGATTGGAGAGGTTATGTTTGTCAAATGAATACAATAACATCTGGATTGTGTAAACTGTAAATTCACTGGCTTCCCCAAACCAATTGCCTTGTCATATTTTATTTCCAGTTTATTTTGATCCATTTACATAGACAACCTACTCATCAATATGTGCATTACACTTGACACTACTTCTGCACTGATAAAGTGGTGTAACCCAATTATGCTATAGAGAACTATCATTTCTTTTACTGATTTCAGCATGTTGTTATTGCTAAACCTGAAGCACATTGAACTCTTAAATTCCTTTACTTTAATCCTTATTATTGCATAATTGCATTTTGAGTCACATTCGAACCTTGAGGACCATACACTGTGTATTCCTGGGAATGATTCTTCTGTTATAATTTTCTATTTCCTGTTTTAATTGTCAAATGTATCTCTATCCTCACTTCTTTTAGTCATGATTCTCCTTTTGTATTTATGCTTTCAGTTTATGAGGGTTTCTACCTCCACCAGCCTTACAGGCAATGAGTTCCAAATTCCTACCACTCTCTGGGTGAAAAAAACTTTTCCTCAGGTCTCCTCTAAACCTTTGAATCTTACCTTAAAATGTCCAGTTTGATGTCATCTTTCTTATGAATTTCGTCCATGAAGTTTAATAATATTGCTAAATCTTCCTCAGTGTCCAATTATTGAGCCTTTAGATGGTTGAGAATATATCACACTTAATCTTGCTTCTAGTAGGAAGCAACCATGACAAGGCCTACGTTGTTCTTTACGTGGTAAGGATATTACCTATATCTGCATTTCCATTTCATTTTCCTGTTGTCCATAAAGTTCAGCTGCACAAACTGTCAGTGGAAAGTCATACTCCAACACGTTGCAGCCATTCTCCTAAATAGTAACTCCAGTTGCAATCTTCTGTCTCTTAGTTTCCACCTTTTGACAACTATCCTCTGCTATCAATGCCAGATTGGATCCGAGCCAGCTGAGTCAGAAAGCAAGATGCCTTTCTTTGTGATAACACAGTGTGGAGCTGAAGGAACACAGCAGGCCAGGCAGCATCAGAGCAGCAGGAAAGCTGACGTTTCGGTTCGGGACTCCCAACCCAAAACATCAGCTTTCCTGTTCCTCTGATGCTGCCTGGCCTGCCGTGTTCCTCCAGCTCTACACTGTGTTATCTCTGACTCCAACATCAGCAGTTCTTACTATCTCTGCCTTTCTTTGTGGATAGTGTTTTATCAACTAATCTGTTTTACAGCTCCGTTCACACAACAGTCCCGATTGTTTCCTCTTTTTTCTCTTTTTTTTCTTCTTTTTCTTTTTCCCCGTTTCATCATATCCAGATGTGCTCTTACACACAACTGAACATTTCTTCCCTCACCAAATCATCCATGGATTTTTCCATCTATTAACCACCATCAGTAAACCACCCATGTTTTACAATCAATTAATTTACGTGTTGTTTCCTCTTTATATCTGCGCAATCAATTAATTAATCTATTAACTCCAACCATCTGCTTAAGTACTTGCTACATTAACAAGGAGTTCCCCAGATCTTTGGTCCAAAAGATCATCCTCATCCATTATAAGGTCAGTAATGAGATCACTTATCATTGAGATACACCTTTTGAAACAAGAC